GGTAAACCACCAGGACCTGCAGGTTAGTTAGGTACCCGGTAAACCACCAGGACCTGCAGGTTAGTTAGGTACCCGGTAAACCACCAGGACCTGCAGGTTAGTTAGGTACCCGATAAACCACCAGGACCTGCAGGTTAGTTAGGTACCGGTAAACCGAGGCTGCTGCGGTGATAATAGGCTGCGGGGAGAAGATTCAATTCAGTTCAGTTTATTTCTAAAGCTCCAAGTCAGATCAGAAGTCGTCTCAGGGACTGAACAGAAACATTCATGTATAAAATAATAATTGAACAGAAACATTCATCTATAAAATAATAATTAACATTATTTATCTGAGGAGCAGCTTTGAGTTTAACTCCATCACTGAACTCTCATCTTGAACAAGCATGAAGGCGACAGTGGAAAGAAAAACTCCCTCATGAGGAAGAAACCTTTAGCAGAACCAGGATCAGGACAAGAGGACCATCTGCTTCGACCAGCTGGGTTTGGTAGGAATAGATACACAATGGCAGGTCAAGAATCACATGTTAAGATAGAAATAGTATCAAATGAAAACTATTCAATTTTAACAATTCATTTAAGGAAATGAGGTCAGTTTGTCCTCTAGTAGTCTAAGTCTATAGCAGCATAACAAGACAACCCTAACTATAGGATTTATCAAACAGGAAAGTCTTAAACTGGACAATGTGTCAGCCTCATGGACAGAAACTGGAAGTTGGTTCCACAAGAGAGGAGCCTGAGAACTGAAAGATCTTCCTCACATTCTGCTGCTGGAAACTCTAGGAACCACAAGTAAACCTGCAGTCTGAGAGCAAAGTGCTCTGTTAGTAAAATATGGAACAATAAGATCAGTAATATAAGATGGAGCTAGGTTGTTGAGGGCTTTGTAGGTTAGAAGTAGGATTTTGAATTCATATTATATTTTTATATTTTAGCTAGTGCATTGCACGCCGTTAGCTTAGCGCTACATCAGTGCCGACAGGGGGAGTTCGGTTCGGTAGGCAGGGTGCGCTGCTTGTATAATGTTTGGGGAAACCCTGAGTAGGTACCTGACAGACCACCAGGAGCTGCAGGTTAGTCAGTTTTAACGACCAGTCAGCAGGAGTTACAGGTTAAGTTTGAAATAATTACTGAAACAAGGTTTTATCACAACGTCTTGATAATGTACTTATTTATCTAATCGTTTCTAATTTATTGTGAGTTCTCTTAAATAAACTTTTAGTTTAGTTGAAATAAAAACAGGAGTTGATGTTCTGTCTCCTCCTGGTGGTCATCAGCAGAGGTGCAGTCTGGCTCCAGTCCAGTTTCATTTCTGTTTCCAGAACTTTCTGCGTGTCCAGAACAATAAGGCCAACTACAACCTGGTGTGTGAGACTCTGCAGTTCCTGGACATCATGTGTGGCAGCACCACGGGCGGACTGGGCCTGCTGGGCCTCTACATCAACGAGTCCAACGTCCACCTCATCATCCAGACCCTGGAGACCCTCACAGAGTACTGCCAGGGGCCGTGCCAGGAGAACCAGGTACCACAGCAGGACTGTTTCAGGTCCAGCAGGATACACCTCCTCCTGTCACTCCTCTGAACAGGAAGCACCTCCTCCTGTCACTCCTCTGAACAGGAAGCACCTCCTCCTGTCACTCCTCTGAACAGGAAGCACCTCCTCCTGTCACTCCTCTGAACAGGAAGCACCTCCATTTTGCTACAACAGAAACTTTAATGAAAGATATCAGTCGACTTGGACTCCGAATTGTTTGTTGTATTTTCCAGACGTGCATCGTGACCCACGAGTCCAACGGCATCGACATCATCACGGCTCTGATCCTGAACGACATCAGCCCTCTGTGTCACTACCGCATGGAGATGGTTCTGCAGCTGAAGGTCCGATGGGTCATCCACGACTCTTTATAACTGTTTACTTTAAAATAAATAATAATAAATCTGTTCAACCTTATGAATCCTGGTCAGAAAACCAACTTTTTAACAACATTATTGTAGATTTATCTTTAATATAAACAAAATTCATCAACTTTGATGTTTCTGGTCTGGGCCTGCAGGGGCAGCGTCTGTAGAGATTCAGAGATTTGTTTGCACAATTATTCCCAGAATTCCCAGCTGCTGTTTTAGTAAATGTTTGTTTTTGGACCAGTAAGATGTGGGATTGTTAACTTCCTGTTTCCTGCCTGGTTGCCAGGACAACGCCTCCAAGCTGCTGCTGGCTCTGATGGAGAGTCGCCACGACAGCGAGAACGCCGAGCGGATCCTCTTCAACCTGCGGCCGCGGGAGCTGGTCAGAACCAGAAGCAGAAAGCAGCTGTCCAAAGAGCCGGGTCGGTTCTGTGTAACGCTGTGTGTGTGCAGGTGGAGGTGATAAAGAAGGCCTACCATCAGGAGAGCGAGTGTGAGGACGTGGAGGTGGAGGTGTCTCCTCGGGAGGTGGGACACAACATCTACATCCTGGCTCAGCAGGTGACTCAGCTGGACGGTTCTGATGCTCTGTGGTCAGATCAGAGGTCGGTTCCGATCTGCAGGAACTGAATATGTTTGTTTTGCAGCTGGCGAGACACAACAAAGTCCTCCAGAACCTCCTGAAGCCTCTGAAGAAGAACCAGGAAGGAGAGGAGGGCATCTCCTCCATGGTAACCTCCACCTGAGGGTCCAGGTTCTGGTTCTGGTTTTGTTGCGGTCCAGTCACACCAACACCTTTCTGTTCGTCTCTGCAGCTGAACCTGAACAACCGGCCTCTGTCCCAGATGCTGAAGTCCTCTGTTCCGGCTGACGTGGTGGAGCAGGACCCTCTGGAGCACTACAGCCAGCTCACCGCACAGATAGAGGTTACGTAGCACCGCCGGCCCGGCTCGCTTCAGAACCATCATGTACACCTTTACACATTCAGTATCAGTGACTTAGATCATCTAGTTGATAATTTTACAACTTCTTTACAAACTTCACTTGATGACGCTGCTCCACTGAAAAAGAAAGTAATCAATCGGAGGAGATGAGCTCCTTGGTTCAGTTCTGAGTTACGTACTTTAAAACAGACATCTAGAAAGATGGAAAGAAAATGGCGCTCCACTAATGTTGAGGAATCTTACTTATCCTGGAGAGATAGCCTGATAACATACAAAAAACACTCCAAAAAGCTAGAACTTTATATTATTCATCTTTAATTGATGAAAAATAACCCCAGGTTCCTTTTCAGTACCATAACTAGTCAAATGAAAAATCCCATCTCTGTTGAACCATGT